CCCCCCCCATCGCTGCTTCCTCACGCCTCTGGCCTCCCTCAGATCGTCTGCGCAGAGCATGGCCGTAGTGCTAGGCGCGGCCTAGCAGCGACACTCTCGTCCCAAAGCCAACCTACGCTCATCCCTCACACACACACACGATGCAAAGCGCAGCAGAGGCCAAGGTGGGAGCGGGTGCTGCAACGTCTGCACCCGGAGCCGCACATCAGAACGCGAGCCATGTTCAGAGGGGCGCACCAGCCAACGTCTTACCTGCCTATTTGGCATTCGCCCTCAAGTCCACCCTCTGTCCCGATCTTGAGCTGCACGCTTTTGGCAGAGCATATCCAGCCCACCGAATCCTGCTGGCTCAATCTCCCTTCTTCAGAGCCATGTTGACTGGAGGTTGGGCGGAACATTCTCAGCTTAGACCTACCCTGCACACATCTTCCTCTCAGCCAGGCGCTCAGCTCCGTCTTTCCTTCGACGATCCCCACATTGGTCGAGCAGCGTTCGAGTACTGTCTCACATCCCTCTACGGAGCTGAGCCCAGACTGGTCTTGCCTAGCTGGGCCAGACCAACCCCAACGCATCCACTCGGTCTGGCCTGGCCACCGCGAGCTGTTCGCATGCCACCCTCCGAAGCTGAATTGGAAGCGGACGGCATTGCTCAGTGCGATGTTCAGGAAGCAGCATCGCTTCCCCATGGCGCTCATCCTGCTACCCCGAGATTCTTGCTCAGTCTACTGAGCACTAGCTTGTACCTCGGCATCCCATCCATCAGCTCCAGAGCTCTCACCCTCATCCTCGCCAGCATCACGCCTTGGACACTCCCCACTTACCTCAGATACGCCATTGGAGAAGGAGTCGATTCGGATCCGAACATTGCAGAGGGTGACTTGGATCAAGAGATTGACGGACCTCTTGCGGGTGCAGAGGTGCTTGGCTCTGCCATCGAGGAGACCGAGTCAGATTCCTTCCACGAAGATGAAGCGCTGGACGATAGCGCCCAGACGGAATTGAATGATCTGGCCGATAAGGTAGCTTCCACTAGCCTCTCTGCACGTGGAAGCCGAAACGCTTCGCATTTGGAAAGTGCTGCAGCACAAAAGGAAGCCGAGATGCCGACTGGGCAGCCCCTGGATGCTCGGTCTGACAGCCCCTTGCAAGCCATCAAGAAGCATAGCCATGAAGCGTCGCCTGTGATGCACTCCAAGCACCCATCACCTACCACTTTTCGCGGCGCTCAAGCCTCTGCGCCTGCCACGCCGCGCCAGTCGCGCGCCCTCAACGAGTCGGTCCTTCGAGCGAGCCGCAGTGCACCTCTGAGACGCAAGTACGACTACGGACCTGCAGCAGCTAGGATTGGTGAAGCGTGCGCTTGTTGGATCTCTCGATGGGGCGCTGACGTGATCCAGGTTGAAGAGGCTCTGGTTATGCTCGAAGAACAGCTGGACTGGCATGCACGTAGCAGCAAAGCTGAACATTTTCGCGACGAAGATGACAGGAGTGCTTCGATGGACGACACAGCGAGCTCTTCGTCCGCTGGATCGACGCAAGGGGTCCAGTACAACGCTACAGCAGCGGGTGATCCCGACGAGCTGGGCGACGGTCGCGCGCATGCCTTTCCTCCTCCTCCAAAGCTCGTCTTTTGGGGCCCTTCTAGTCACGGCGGTGTGCCTGCTTCGTGGGTACGGGGAACTATCAGCGCGGACACGCTATGTGTCAGAGGGGAAGCGGAGAGGTGGGACCTTGCGAGACGGGTTGTGGACCTCAGACGTGGTGCGCTCATCGCGAGCGCACAACGCGATGACAGCGAGCTCGACGTGTTCGAGGAGAGTCTGAATACGCGCGAAGGGGGCGACGCATCCCCAGAAGAGGACGCTTACGAGTCGGACGGCTCCAGCGCCGTACCAGAGAGCGATCAGTACTTGGCGCGCGATGCTCATGAACCTCGAAGACGCAGAGCTGCGCAATGGCATCCGACCCGGAGACACGCGATGGAAAACGATGCGGAAGGAGGCCAGGATCTGTCGGCTTGGTGCGATACACCAGATCTGGAAGCGGAAGAAGCGGAGTTTGTAAAGCTCTTCTGCGAAGGCATCTACTACACCCACATGGCCTTTGCCGAGCTCAGCAAGATCCATCAGTGCATCTCGCCCCACACTGGCAAACCCTACACGCCGCAAATGGTGCTGCAAGCTGCGCATTGGGCTGGACACGAGCTGCAGAATCGAATTCTGGCAGTTGCGCCGCCCGCTGATGATCCGCACGCTGGCGCGTCTTCACCGGACGACGAGGATCGGGATGTCCTAGGAGCCGAAGGGGAAGGGAATACGGCGCAGCGTCAAGCTGGAGCGGGCGATGTCACTCCCAACGCCGCCGCTGCAGCTTCTGCGAGTTCGGGAAATGCTGCAAAGAAGGAACCTGCCACATCCAGTCTGGGCGTCTCGTCGCAGTTGGCAGACTTTGAAAGGGCGGCAGCCAAGGTGGAGAGCGCCTCTCGAGCGTCGAAGAACAAATTGGGCACGCCCTCTAGATCCAGATTTGGGACGCCTGTGAGGAGCTCCGCTGTCTCTTTGCCTTCCTCGCCTGATCAGCATCTTCATCTGGGAGGTCTAGGTAGTTCGGCATCGCCGGCAGGACCATCGTTCCTTGCTCCGTCTGGTGGTTCAGGAGGGGCCAGTGCTGCTCTTCTTCGACGATCTTTCTTTCCCGTACCTGCAGATGACACGGTTAGGCTAGGCGACGGACTTGGGGCTTTAACAAGCGCGCCCAACGCGGCTGCAGCGGCTGCTGCTGCTTCCGTCGGCACGCATCAGGCTGCTGTAGGCGCGGTGCCGGCATCTGGGCTCGGCCTGGACAGCGACGCTATCGGGATCTCGACGAGCTTCAACGCTGAATCGTGGGACGGTCCGCTGGGTCTTGCAGCAGCGAGGGAGCCGAGCACTCTAACCATGCCGTCTGCCCATACTTGCAAGAGTACCAACGTCGGCGGACCGAATCCGTACGGTCGAGGAGCCAGCTCTGATGGGCACGGCTCACCTGGTCAGGGCGGAGGATTGATGATGTCGACCAATGGCAACATGACTGCTACCAGAGACGCTGCCGGTTTCTTTGGAACGGCCAATATTGTGCAGACCGGTAGCGATCTGGCATGGCACTCGTCGCGCATTCGAAATGCTGCCAGATCACTCTCTCCCGGCGCCTCCAGTGGGCTGCGTTCGAGTACGACTGAAGAAGACGATCCCACGGGGCACGCCACCTCCCTTGGTGAGGATTCGAAGTCGCCTTCATTTGCCGCTTCGCCGCGAGCCGATGCTGCGCTCAAGTCCCGCTGGACCGGCTACGAGCCTATGCGACTTGGAGTAGAATTCTACGGCGTGGATAAACTGGCAGAGAAGCAGAGGCTTTACTCGCCCACCTTCTTCTATGCTGGTAGCATCTGGAACTTGTATTGCCAGACGCTTCGGAAGCCAAAGGGTCTGCAATTGGGCGTCTACTTGCATCGTCAGAGCCCCAGCGAGCCTCTGCCTCCGGCCAGTCAACCCCCAATCTCCTACAATTCGTACGAGTACGGCACAATTGAGGGGTGCGCTAGTGCTCATCTTACCCCCCAGGCTCTTTCGCTCATCAACAGCGGCGCCAACAATGTGATGGACAAGTTTGCGAATGCGCACGAGGCTCTTTGGCAAACTGAAGGACACTCGATGGGTGGCGGAGAGGTGGACGAGACGCCAAGCATTCGGATCGGCTTGCCGAGCGGTGCTCATACCTTGCAAGCTGGGGGCGTTGCGAGTCCTCCGAGCGCGTCTGGTGGATCACTATCCCCTCAGCCTCCAACGTCTAGACGTACGAGCACCCACTCCACGTCGTCGAATGCCAAGTCTTTCCTGGAGCCGGCGATGGACGCATCGTCGGTCGCGCAGGACCACGTCGATTTGCCGCCTATTCCCCTCTTTCCTCGCTCTAATACTTCGGCCCCACTTCACTCGCTTGTGAATGGAGGGCTTGGAAGCAACGCGTATCCTTCCAGTACAGGCAGCGGGTCTCTCTTCCCCTCGAACGCGCCCAAAGGGATACACGCCGGCACAGCGCAAAGGGCATCTTTGCCTACGGGCGGCAATACCTCGAACGACGTTGCAAGCGCATCACAATCGCAAAATCCTGCCTCCTTCTTGCCCGCACCGTCGAGCCCCACCACGCCCTCTGCACCGACTGGGGCTGCTTTACCAGCCCTTTCCCGCTCGTCCGGCGCGATGGGTGGGCAAAATGTGTCCCAACCGCAATCTCAATCTCAATCGCAGGCGCAAGCTCAATCTCAAGCAGCGAGCAGTGCGGTAAGCATGCCGTACCGGGACGACCGAAGACTTTTGCGCGCATTCTTCGCCATACATTGTCCAAGCCCCCTAGGCTCCGCATTGACCCGCTTCTCCTCCGGTCCGGACCAATTCACCGTCAGTCAGAGCTGGGGCTGGAAGAGCTCGTCGTTGTTAGGCGCTACGTTTTTGATGGATGGAGAATTGGGAAGCGCAAAGACGGAGAGCGCGAAGAGGTTCAGATGCGTCTGCACCATTGGTCTGATCTGAGCAAAGGCGACGAGGCGCGCATGGCAGCGCAGCGAATGCCCCATTGGAATGTCCGCACGTGGGGAAGGGGGGAGAGAAGATTTGAAGCGGGGTCGGATTCTTCTGAACGAAGAGTCGACTTGTTCCCTCGTCCGTCAACAAAACAAGGGCTTCGCATTCACCTCTCCGCCTAGAAGGTCGGTGCTGCCTCGCTCGTTTGTCAGACCTCGATCCTTGAACGAGATTCACCATCGCCTCATTTCTTCCATGACAATATCACCTACCTTAGCTTTAGCTTCTCGAGCAATGAATCTTTTTTTCTTTTGCCCCTTTGCCGCCTCGCGCGCTCCTTCCTGATCCGAACCTTGACGCAACGACCATGGCACCTGCCCTGCCCTCGACGCAAGGAACACGCATTCTGCTCAATTCAAGATCGCAAGCATCAACAGTGACGAGTGGGTGGGGGAAT